GACCTAAGGTGATGGCCAATCCCATAGGAACAGGAGATATGTGCAAACATAATAAATTTCCCAAATGATGTCTACATCCTAATCCCCAGAACCTGTGAATAAGTCCAGTTCTGTCATGAGCGGGGAAGTTTGCAGATAGAATCGAGGTGGCTAATCCACTGGCCTTAAAATAGGGAGATTATCTAGATTATCTAGATGGACCCAAGGTAATAGGAAGGATCCTTAAATATGGACAAGGGAGGCAGAAGAGAGAACCTGATTGATGGCAGGTGAGAAGCCTTGACCAGATGTTGCTGGAACAGAGGGAAGGGGCCATGGGCCAAAGAATGTTGGAAAGAGCGAGGAAGCAGATTCTCCCCGACAGCCTCCAGKGAAGGAATGTGGCTCTGTTGACACTCCTTGATTTTAGCCTAGTGAGACCCATGGGGACTTCTGAACTACACAACTGCAAGATAATAAACCTGTGTTGTTTTAAACCAGCAAGATGGATCATGGTAATTTGTAATTAGAAAACCGATACCAGATGAAAGGTTCTCCTCTCCTGGTGACCGCTCCCTCCTGTAGGGTTGGATGCTATGACAGCTGGTGAGACAGAACTTTAGACCACGTTTCACAGAAGGGTGGAGCTAATGCATTAACAGGAATGTTCCTGAAYAACTTGCCTTTCTCTCCTGCCCTCTCTCACAAGGGCACAGGCTTGGACACAGCTTCCCTTCCCCCCTCTTTCTCCTCTGCTAATTCCTTCTCTGTTTGGTGGCTCAGGCAGAAGGAAGGCAAAGTGGTCCCTTTTGGGCTTGTGTCTCCATGACAGTCTCCAGTCCAGCTTTGCCAGCGAGGTCAGAGTGCTCTGGGTGGTGTGGCACTTGTCTGGCCATTAATAAAAWAGACACTTTGGTCTCCTTTTCTGTTCCTGTTCTCGTCCCTTTCGCCATCGACTGGGCTCAGAGGGATGACATGCAGGTGGAGCTCCCTGGGGCCTGGAGGGTAAGCTTAAAGGGGACTCTGTAGAGTGGATTTTAATAGGGCAAAAGCTCTGAAAGTAACTCTGACCAGCTGGTGTGTAAATGCAGCTGAGGCTGGAATGAAATTTCCCCAATTCCATGGGAGTATAGACAACCAGACTGTGAAATTTTGGCTTCAGATTATGTGTGGCAGTCTTCAGTAGGTGAGGCTAGGTTGACTGTCCCAGTTTCCTGTCACCTTGGGATTGCACTCAGGGCYGCAGCAGGAATCATGGAGGGATTTAATTTATGATCTGATCACAGGCTTCTGGAATTATTTCCTGCCACATAATCTCCAGTTGGCTTGGAGTTGGACATTTTTTAAGCTCTGACTGGGGCTGAGGATTTCAGAGGCCCGCTATGGGACTAACCACAGTTATAAAGGAATAGGACCCCTGTAGAGAGGAAATGTCATTGGAGGAGGAAGTGGAAAAAACCTCATGGAATGATTAGCAACCTGAAAGAACAATGAATAATTCCTGTACCTGGAACGCTCTGTCCTTACAGAACAGACTTATTCAGGGAGCCTGGGGTTCATGTCAGAAACAAGTCTTGGTCTTTTTCCTTTTTTCTTTTGATGCCAGGGAGCAAACTCAGGGGGGGGGGTTAACCACTGAACCACATCCACAGCCCTATTTTGTATTTTATTTAGAGACAGGGTCTGAGTTGCTAAGCACCTCACTGTTGCTGAAGCTGGCTTTGACCTTCCAATTTTCTGGCTTCAGCCTCCCAGGCCGCTGGGATTACAAGCCTGCACCACAGTGCCTGGCTCAAGTCTTGTTCCTATAGTGAGAAAAGTCGGAGAGAAAGGAAAAGAGAGAAGGTGTTTCTGTTGATTGAGCTGGGAGAAAGGATGAGATTTTTCTGGGAGAAACGTTGAGCTCTTAGCGCCCATACTGAAGATGGATTAAAAGGCAAAAGGAAGTGTTTACATGCTTAAGTACTTTTAAGGATAAAACTAGAGAAGAGTAGAAGATTCATTCCTTACTAGACCAGGAGGGTGAAGGAGGCCRTGAGAAATTTAACAAGGATGCAAAAGAGAAGGAGGCCACTAGAGGGAGCAGGGACCCAGGAAATATTGTGGACAGTGGCTCAGACCTAGAGGTTTAGTGTAGAGATTGCAAACGCTACTAGGTAAGTTTCAGAGGGGCACAGTTGTTCATTTCTTTCTTTCTTTTTCTTTTTTATTTATTTCTTTTTTTGTAGAGATATTGCCCAGGCCTTGAAGAAACATGCCCAGGAGCCATGCCTCACAGTTACTGAGAGGATGAAACTCATGCACGAGAGAAATAGGTCTAGTTGAGTTAAATTGGGACTTCTGGGAACAATACTTTAAATCCCTAACTATAACACGATAACCCAATAGACAGTGTGCACGTACCACCCTCTAGTGGTAAACTTCATGCTAAAATTAACCCTCCTTAGGAGAGTTCTCTGTTTGAGGTTCAAGTTTAAGTGGTGCAGACTGAGAGCATCCTCGCTGGTCTTTCTCCGAAGTCTCCAGGTTTCTGCCACGTGTGTTGCTGGCATTACAAGGCAATTCCTGCTGAGATCAAAGCTTCTGCCTGCCTTTTGGAATTTGAGGAGGAGGGAGAGACTGTCATTGAGATGCCTTGGCGTCACCGCTTCCCTTCCAGCTGCATCTGTCCCCTGTGCCACCATAAGCTGCCTGCTGATGACCCTTAGGAAGAACCCAGTGAGATATACATGGCTGGAGACCTTACAGCCACACACACAGGAAGTGCTGTGGCTGACTCTGGCCTTCTATCTCTTCCTCATGCCCCTTGAACCTGTGTTAAAGGCTTCTCCCCCGGCACCTCAGCACCACTCAAAACCATGYACTAGGTAATGGAAACCTAATTTCCCTGGGACCTGAGAATATGCCTGAGTTCCTAAATTTTGTAGGTGTGGAGCTGGTGCCATGGACTCCCATGTGTCCTAGTTACACTGATTTTGAAAAAGATGGATCCCTGAGCTGCTTGGGGATGGAGTAAGTGAACTTTGAAGAAGCTAGAGGAAGTACTACCACTTCAGGGGGAAAAAGACCAGGATGCAGCCTATGGCCAGATGTAGCTTCCTTTGCAGTGAGTCCCCCTGGTTAATAAGGAGCAAAATAAGTAATGGGTACCCGGGGAGGGTGTGCGTCAGACTTTTATTTCCTTTCATTTTAGTTTAAAAGAGAGTTTAATTTCAGTTTTATTATTTGCTCCTCTTGAAATTAGGGCATTAATTAAGGGCATTTTATTGGTTGGTGGTGTTGAATTGTTTGGTATTTGACGCTGCTGTGCAGTGCTCATTTGGTAAGCCTCAAGGGAGCTGTATTGAGCCATGGGACTGAGCAGACTGCAGAGAGGAAGTAGAGTCTGGGGCACGGTACAGTTTTGGAGTTAATTCCTGTCCTACTAGGACCCAATCCAGTGGTCTCTGGGGCCAACAGCAGCTTGTTGGCCACCTCACTGATTCCAGGAGGATACAAAGAAGAGTGGTGAGAACCTGTACCTCACTTTTTTCCCCCCGGAAGTGTGATTAACAAATATTAAAGTCTTTTGCAAGGGTTGGGTGAGAAAATATGTGTAAAGCACTTGGAAATAGGGCCTGCCACATAGTGAGAGCTTTATAAATCTGTGGGCCACATGGTCACGTGTTTGGTCACAAATGGCCAAATGYCTGCAAAACGGGTGGTCATCCTGGTGCACTGTTGGTCTTCTCTGTCCCACTCCCATTCCTGCCTGTGATTGATCACAGGCCCATCAGTTAAGCCTTCTGCATTGAGAAAAGAGCAGGTGCTCATGTTGGGGGCTTTCTCCTTTATATGTTCCCTTCAGACAGAGGAGCAGGTTGGAGGGAGCCCACCTTTCCATTCCTCCCTCATTCCCAAGGGGATGGCCTTGGGAGTGAAAGCCTGGCAGTGGCTCCTCCCACTCTGTCTCTGCTCACTTAGAGTGGGCTGGGGTGGGGGAGAGTACGGGAGAGAGGAGAAGGCCCCTTTGCTCTTTGGCCTCTTATCTAGTTTTAATAGGAAGCCCTGCATTGGAGCCTTATTGGCACAGCTGTCCAGTCCTTAGTTAGGTGGACACTTTGATTGCCACTGGGCATTGGGCCTCAWGTCATTTTCTGTAGTGGTCTGAACTGGAGAGTGTCTTATCCTCCAAGACACTTCAATTTTTCTAATTTAATCTTAGGAAACCTTCCTTCCAATTTCTTCCTGAACTCCATAATCTTTGATATTTTGGCAAGAATTTTTTGCAGTGTCTCAAGCAACGGCTTGAGAAAGATTCTTAGTAGAAATTTTCGTCTAGTTTGGTGGCGTTGTGGGAGTGGGTACTAAGCAAGGGAAAGTGGACAGGTGGCTACTTTCTACACCAGGARAAAGCAAAGGAAGGAAGGAGATTTTTGTATCTTTCTTCTTCCAGATATTCCTGGGCCAGGATACTGCCAGTCCTGCACTGTGGTAGGTCAGCTGCTCTATTGGTATCCTGAGTGCCTTTCCTGTGTCCTTGGAATAGGGTGCCAGAGACCAGAGGTGTCTTCCTTCCTGCCATCCTACCTGCCCTTGAGCGGACACAAAGAGACTTTCATTCTCTCATGTTCTTTTTTACCCAATGAATCCCGCATGCCCAGGGCCACAGGGAGATGGGCACATTCTAGATAGATGGGTCTGGCACATGGTGGACACTGGTGGATGTTAGCGGAGTGAGTAAATCAGAGTGATCTACCTTGAGAAGTTCTGGGAAATGAGGGTGGAGAGGAGGGAGGGTGGAGAGAAGGCAAGAAGGTATGACATTGGACTCTGGAGTCCACTAGGAAATGTACTAGAAAATAAACAGGGAGTTTGGAGAGTGCAGTGTCCTGGAAACTTCCGAGGGGAATTTTCTAGAAGGGATCCAGTCTTCCATTGACAGACAATGTAGAGTCAGGACTGAGAGGGAGCTGTGAGACTTGTTGTTGTCAGTGATTTGGGGGGGAATAGTGGTGGGCTATGGGTGGGAAAGGGCAGACTGCAGGGAGGTGCCACTCTGGTGACGTGGAGGGGCAGGGCGAGCAGTGTCAAGGCTTTGCCAAGGATGTTGTGGGATGCAGAGACTTGAACAGGTCTGTGGGGATTGGGGAGTTGAGGAAGAATAGTGGGGGCCTCCTGCCTCCTTTCCCACAAAGTCACCACAGAGCTGTGTTTGGGTTGAATGCTTTAATGCCTGGATTTGAGGGGTTGATGGTGGTTGGGAAGAGTGCAGTGTGGGTGATGTAGGCACCTCTCATGGCCCAGCCTGGGATGTCGAGTCCTTGTCCTCAGGGCCTCATGACATCATTGGCATCAGGTATCAGGCTTTTCAGATAGTCCAAGATTCCTTTGATGGCTTTCTTCAGATCCTTCCCCATTTTATTGCCAAACTTGGTCAGTTTTCCCTCCGAGGTGGTTGCTGGGAAATATGGGGAGAAAAATGTCAAGTTCAGGCTGGTTCTCTCCCAACCCTTCCCAGCATTCTGGCAACAACCTTCCACAGAACTAGGAATCAGTGGGGTCTTTTGATCTCACTTATATTTCATTCTCGATCCCCCTCTTTCTAACCCCACCTTATTCCCATCCAAGTCGCTCCCCCACCCCTGCCCTTTTCTTCTCAACACCTCCCCGGTCATTTCCTCTCTTCCCTGGCTCATACCAGCAGTAGGAGTGAATTCTGTGGTCTCTTCTRTGGAACTTTTGGAACTGTCCCCTTGGAGTACGGGGTGAAGGATTTCAGGTGTTTGACTCATTGGTCTGGTGGATTGTATCACCACATTCTCTTTGGAAATCAGCTCTTCACTGAGGATGAAAGGCTCCACGGTGAGGTCCTCACTGGAGATAGAGGCTTTCCTGGGATGGTTGATAGAAGCAAACTGGGAAGCTGGGACTAAGGAGATGGAGGGAGTATGGGGCAGAGAAAGAGCTCCTGGTGAGAAGCAGTCAGCCATTGCCATATCCGTCCCTTAACGCGGTGAGGCCATCAGGGTGTATCCCACTTGTGTGTGGCTGAACCAACATACAAGTGGGATAGATGTCCTGGGCCAAGCCGATTCTACGAGCACCGCCGAGGTACATGCTTGAGTCTGAATGACATTGATTAGGAATTACACTCTTCTCACCAAATCCACCTATAACCGGTTAAAAGAAATTAACTCGGCCTACACTTGTCTGCTTCATYGGAGGAATTCATAAATATTGGTTCTTTTCCTGTGAATTCTGGATATTATCACCTGAGATTAACCCATGTCTACAGATAATCTACAAAGTCAGACCTCCCCATGTGCATGGTTTTGGGATTATGGGGGTGAGGAGGCTGGAACTGGTGACCCTGCGGCATGCTTGCCTTAGGTGAACCGAGGCCCTTTGCTGGCTAGCGTTTGGAGGTGAGGTGTGGTCCCATTCCAGGCTCTGATGACTAGTCAGCATGAACACTGTTCAAATGGTTCCTGGTCCCCAGATCTTGGCCAGTTCTTGCAGCAGGAAGGATTAAGACCAACACCAAGAGGGACTGTCTTTACTCCACTTCTTCAGGTGAGGAATTTGTCACTTATTGAACAACTTTTTACCCCCACCATCTTACTCTAAAGGACACTAGTGTGAGACTTACAGTCATTGGTGACTTGAGTCTTCAAGGGGATTTCATCTTCTGACTCTGAAAAAGAAGAGATTAAAGCCTCCAGGGCTCTCAAGACAGCTAACATGTGAGTCATTCCTCTATAACCAACCCCATACCCCAACATTCCCAATCTCCCTTGCTTTTCTAATGTTTTTCTTCTCATTTCTAACCCACCAGGTAATTTATTTAATGTTTATTATATTTTCTTTCTCCTTGAGTATAATCTTAGTGAAGATTGAGGACTGTCTAGTCTGTTAGTGGATCCTAAGTCCTTAGAGCTGCGTCTGACACAGAGTAAGTGCTTACTAAATAGCTATTGAATGTGTGTGTGTGTGTGTGTGTGTGTGTGTGTGTGTGTGTGTGATCATACAGACAGAGAAGGAGGTTCAGGGGATGGTACTGACTCTGCTTGGGTAGTTCACCATTGCCAGAAGCTGAGATACAATCTGAAACTCTGTTGACCCATAATCTACTCTGATTTAGGCCCAGCTTATCTCCCTTGGCCCCAGTCTCAAGCTTTCTGGGTTGCAGGATCCCGAGGGCCATATGCCTTGGTTCCCTACCTCCATCCCTTGGTCATCCCAAGTGTGGACTCTCTCTTCTGCATCTCCCCATCTCTCTCATAGCACATTACAAGGATTGAGAAAGGGCCTCCCTTGTGCTGATTCTCCCAGATGACAACTCGATGACCTCTAGGGGACCGAGGGAATGAGAAGGAGGCTATACTCACCATGAAGGATGGCCAGAGAGGTGGAGGCCAGGCTGGCCAGCAGCAGGACAGTGAAGAGCTTCATGGTGGAGCTGGAGCAGGAGCTGTTTGTCCTGGGGGAGGCTCTAGTGAGGAGGCAGTCTGGAAGGGCCTTATTTATTTTGGGGGTAAGAATGGACTGTGGGGAAACTGGTTTGGGATTGGAGCAAACCAGGTTTCCCCTTCTAAGTTCCCTGTTCTGAATATGTTTATTTTTGGGAACTGGAGATTCTGGGAAACCAGTTAACAGGAAAGTAAGGCCATGCCACAGGTGTGCCAGCCCCAGGCTCCATCGCGTATGCCTATGGAATAATTTCCTGGGTCCGAGTTCCCCTCCTTCATGGTACTCATGACTGGTATATATTTTTTTTACTTTTATTCATGCAATCATTCAATTAATATCCATCTCCCACAGAAGAATGAATCTTCCATGAAGACTGGAATTCTACCCATTTTGCTGGCATTGTTTTCCCAGTACTTTTCAAGTAGCTGGTACAAAGTAGGAGCCTGGAAAATATTAATTGGGTRACTGAATCAAGAAGGGGTCAAATTGCCCTCTAGGGTGCAGCTAAATCTCCCCAATAGTTCAGGAGAGAGGCTGTTACAGGAATTCCAAGCAACTGTCCAGAGTTTGTTCCCGTGGGATAGTTAATTCGTGACAGGAGGTTATTTACTTGGCATAGAAATTCATATTCACAGAGGTGAGGTGATTTGTATAAAGTCACATATTTGGGTGCATTTGGACCAGGTCAGACTAGTTCCACATCCAGAGTCTAGTGGGCAAGATGAAGCAGGAGGTTTTCCTGAGGAGGGATCTGGAGAGGAGGTGGAAGGTGGGCCTAGGACTTGGGTTCTGGTCCTGGGCCTCAGGACTGAGTTAGTAGATCTCCTCTGTCGTCAGGTAGCTGGAAGTTTTCATGATCTCTCTGAAACCTCTGTTTCTGGGCTGCCAACCCTGAGACGGAGCGTCCTGCCCTCAGCAGGGAACATGCTCACTGGGCATGTGGGGTCCCAYGGAGCGCAGCCTAGGCCTCTAGAGCACAGTGAGCGCTGGGCTGTGCCAGCTCATTGGAGTCTTCCTTTCCTGGAGAGGAGAGCCCCAGGAGCTGGCAGTTGTCCTCCAATTTCTGCAGGACAGTCCTCTCCTTAGGCAAGATGGTGAGGCGAAGGAAGTTTGTCTTGGGCTACCTCTCCCCTCTCCTTCCTTCCTGATTCCCTCTCTTACCAGCAATCTTCCCTCCYGTACCTCAGAGGACTTAGGAGCAGGACATGGACAAATAAGGGCAGTCACAGTGAGTCCAAGAGGACAGGATTTCAGGTCTGTAGGCTTCTTTCCTGATACACCTAAAACCCCCCCATCACCGCTCTTCTGGCCTCCATTCTGTCTCCACCAAAATCCATCGTCCACACTAATGCTGCGGGGATCTCCTGAATTTCATGCAGCTTGCTACTTGACAGTCTTTAATGACTAGCCATTACCCAGGGGATCAAGCCCAGACTTCTCAGCCCTTCCAACCTCACCTCTTACTTCTGTGAGTTATTCCCCTGTTAGACCTGGGTTCATGCTACTTCTCTTTCAGAACTGCTGTCGCCTCTCCTTCTTCTTGGTATGTTCCTGCATCATGATCGAGACCAGACCTCCCCACTGGAGGGAAGACAAGCACCTTGGTCAGTCATCTCACCTCGGTGGCTCCACAATGCACTGTTCATATTGTCATCTTTTTATTGTCACATACCAGTATTATTTGTTGAGGAATGACATGTGCAAGTTTTGGAGATGTAATGGCAAACAAAACCATCTGGTCCCTGGCCTTATGAGGTTGATTGTCTAGCACTTATCACATTCTATTGTGATTTGAAATCTGTTGGTTTTACTGGTCAATTGCCATGTCAAGGACAAGAGCCATAGTTTGTTTATCTCTGCATCTCGATTTATTTAGCATAGATCTTAACATTTGCAGCATGCTCCAGTCTGGCTTTATTGAATGAGTCAATTTGTTTATTCAAAGATGGCCCCTGGGGACGTGTTTGCCCAATGAAGTGTCTCCTGAGTGTGTTTGAGATCTTTCAGAGGCTTTCATCAACAAATAAATATTTCAAAAAGAATTCAATGAGTGCCTGCTGTCTACCAGGCATGATGAGGCTTTTAGAGCTCTAACAAAACAGATCTTGTCCCTGTTCTTCCAGCTCAAGGTACCGGTTAAAATAGAAGTCACTCAGCCAAATGTCGATTTAATATAAGGAATGAAAAAAAAATTCAGAATAAGTATGTCTCAAATATTTCACAAGCCATAATAAACATGTCTGAAAACCTATTTAATGTGTTCTGTATTTATTTGCTAAATTTGGCCTTCAAGACTCCAGGCCAGCCTCAGACTAGCAGGAGAAGCAGGGAAGATTTCCCATACATACTCTTTCTGACCTGTCACTCTAAGGTCCCGGCCTCATCCTATGTGCTTGGTTCAGGTGTAGGGAAAGTTGCCTGCCATATCGTAACTTCCTCCTGAGAAAAGAGGTCACAGRGGTTCTTGCATATAAATGTCAGAGTGACTTTATTTTCCTGCCTATTCCTGTTTTGTGAGGAATCTGGGCTTTATTCAGAGGCAACTCTCAATAGGGTGGGTATAAGGAAGACCAGTGGCTTCTGAGGAGGCCAGGGTGAGAGAGCTGTCTTTTCTGGTGCTCCATATTGGACGGTTTCTAAGTCAACAAGGTCCTCCTCAGTGAATTTTGAGACAGAGATACAAAAATAAAGAGACATAAACACAGTAGAGGAAGAAAGGAGGAAGCAGAGAAATGGAGATAGAGTTGGGCATGATGGTKCACGCTTGTAATTCCAGTGACTTGGGAGGCTGAGGCAGGAGGATCTCAAGTTCAAGGCCAGCCAGGGCAACTTAGTGGCATCCTGTCTCAAAATAAAAAAAGGGCTGAGGATGGAAGTGAATGGCAGAGTGACCCTAGATACAATGCACAGTATCATGAAAAAAAAATATGGAGACAGAGGAGAAAACCCATGCCTAGAGGAGCTCTGGACCTGGTGTCAGATTTGCCAGAGCAGCTGGAGGGGCTTATGGCTCAGTTACACTTGTACCCTGTACTCCAGGAGGCCTCCTGAAATGGTTCCTGTTCTTCCTTCCTTCTGTCACTGGTTGTCACCTGAGTGCATCTTATAAATGGGAAGAAAGTCAATTTCATTTGACGATATTAACTCAGAACACATGCATCTAAGGTTCAGCTCTGCCACCCCCTCCACTGTATGGCCTCTATCCAGCCATGCCCTTTCTCTGGGCCTCAGTCTCCTCCTCAGCAAGGAGAGGGAAGGTCCAGATGGCTTTCCAGGGCCATCTAGGATTCTTGTTCCAATATCKGACAGCCCCTTGGGTCCAGGGTAAACTTCTTGGGAGGTTTTCATTTTAGAAGGAGAAGGGCGTCWGGCAGGTTATACTCAAACTTCAGTGCACATCAGAAACAGCTGAGGGAGTTTCTTTGAATTTCTTTCCTCTTCATTTAGTAGGTCTGGGATGTAGCCCAGGAATAGTCTTCTAAAACCAGAGTCCAAAGAAGTTCTGAAGTGGAGGTGTTGGGGACAACCCTATCTTAGGTTGACAGCATGGCTTCTAAGCAAAAGCTCAAACTTCTTCTGTGACAAAGATTTGGGGAGTCAGAGAGTGTTATTGTGTGTGTGTGTGTGCGTGTGTGTGTGTGTGTGTGTGTGTGTATGAGAGAGAGAGAGAGAGAGAGAGAGAGAGAGAGAGAGAGAGAGAAAGAGAGAGAGAGAGAGAGACATTCAACACCTATGTTATTAGCATACTCAAGGCCCTGGTTAATCCCCAGCACTGCAAAGCYAATAAATAGATACCTATGTTTTAAAGCCAGTACATCCTTAAACGAGGGCCCCTGTAATAACCCACATACATATCCCCTGAATAAATTAATAGAAATATGAGCATCCCTGACACATTGATGTGACCATAATGGGTCACAACCATATGTGTTTTAGGTTTTTCCTCAGTTATCCCCAACAGCAACCTCCATCCCTCCCACTGTGCACTCAGCCATTTTTTATTATGGAGKACAGACATCCTGCCCCCAGGTTGCTTAACATCCAACCACGCTGATGTGTTATAGCCCTTCTCACAGCCCACAGTCCTCACACCAGGAGACAATCCCRCAGACCAGAGTTCTGGACACAGAGCCTTCAACTTGGGAATTGCTTATGTAGCTTGAGGAGTCACTCCYAAGGGCTACAAGAGGATAGAAAGATGACTGTCCAGACCTTCATAGGTTGGGGAGTGGCCGAGAGACGTGTCCATAACTGCAGCTTCCAGTGTAGCTAGCCTGTCCAGTTCTCACACCAGGGTCACTCAAACACACCCGACCCAGCTCACTGAGCTCCATGGGGACATTGAGTGGCCAGCCCACATGGTCAACGTTTTTCAGAACCCATTCTCTTTCATATGGAGAGTATTTTCACAGACTGCTCARGCGGAGCCACGTCTGGCTCAGACCTTCCTGCAGAGACAGTGGCTATGGCTGTGACATATGATATGACACATCGGCCATGGACCCTGAAGGAGGAACTGGAGGCTCACTCAGGAGGAACCATTTGAAYGTGACTAGAAATAAGGCAAAAGCTGCTCTCTCCCCAGCTGCTCCATTGTGCTGTGAAAGTGGGGTCTTCCTGTCTCTGAGCTCCCCTGAATGTCATTCAGAACACTCCGTTTCCTGGATAACYTCGGCTAGGACCCTCTTGCCTGTGAATGACGGACATTCTAATTTGGCTAGCTCAAACAATAAAAAAAGGTGCTGTCTCACCTAACAGGAATACTGAACGAGGCTTGGTTAATTCAGCAGCGCAATGAAATCATCAAGGATGTCAGATTCCTTTTCTTCCCATGGCTCTTCTCTGTCCGGGAGCCTGTCTTTCSGCCATTTATCTTCAGTAGCAAGCTGGCTGTTGCCACTCTTTGCAATATTCAGAGGCAGAAAAAGACTCTTCTGTTGTAATTATGTATTTTTTTTTSTCAGCAGAACCCACACATTTATTCTCTGGCTTATTGAGAACTGTTATGGTTAGAAAGGCCAAGTGGAAGTAGAAGTCTCTCAAACTGTTTGAGCCCATTGTTTGGCTAACACAGTCCATCAGAAGTAATCATGCACCAGATGGAATGGTAGAGAACAGTACTCTGTTCAGTTCTCTGGTATAACCCTTGCAAAAGCTGATTATGTCACAGCAGATGACAGTAGACTGTCCTAATTTAACCAAGTGGTAGCCTTAATTGCAGCTGCTGTGCCAGATGGAACATCTTTACTATGATAGAACACTTGGTATGATGCTTTTGATCTTGCAAATGCCGTCTTTTTAGTGGCTACCAGGGAAAAGGCTCCAAGCAGACAGTGTTTATCCATGATGGACAGCAGATGATGTTTATAGTCCTACCTCAGGGATAATTCTCCTGCTTTCTATCCCAATGTAGTCCTAAAGCCAGGAATGATGGCACATACCTGCAGTTCCAGCTACTTGGGAGGCTGAGGCAGGAGGATTGCTTGAACCCAAGAGTTTGAGACCAGCCTAGGCAACAAAGTGAGATCTCATCTCAATGGAGAAAAAGAAGAAAAAGAAAAGCAACAAATAATAACAATATAGTCCTTAAAAACCTTGATCATGGCTGGGGATATAGCTCAGTGGTACAACACTTGCCAGGTTTAYAGAAGATCCTGGGTTCAATCCCCAACACAAAAACAAAGAAATAATCAGCTTGACACAGTGATCCTACTGTAAATCATTACCACCTTGAAGCTGACTATCCTGACAGAATGTTAGAATTATCTTTGAAAGTCACAGYAGAGCCTGGTATATTGGTACATATCTATAATCCCAGCAAATAGGAAGGAGGCAGGAGGACTKCAAGTTCAAAGCTAGTCTCAGCATCTTGGCAAGGTCCTAAGCAACTTAGCTAGACTCTGTTTCAAAATGAAAAAGACTGSGATGTGTCTCCAGAGGTTAAGCACCCCTAGGTTCAAATCCCAGTACCAAAAAAAAAAAAAAAAGCCACAGAGGAGCTATAATCTGCTGCATCAAGTCTAAGGCTACTCCTTTACACAAGGTTGTGGTTAATATTATAAATTCTTTCTGCTATCCTCTCCATGTTTATTTTGCCTTCTGCTGGGACTTTAGCAGGTTAGTGTTCTTTATCTGGTAGACTGACTCAAAATTTCATTTCCAAAGGATCTGAATTCTCAGTGGTCCTATTTGGTTGGAGTTGCTTAAATTCCTGTTAACATTTTGTTTTCTGCCATTAAYGTTTACTAGT